ATCCAAATGACATGGATGAATTTACTCCGAGATATTTGATGTCAGAGCTAAATGACAATTCAACTTTCGTCATGAAACGCGTAAAAAATAGAGACGGAACGAAAGAACAAAAGCTTATGAATGCGGATGACGTAGATAGGGAAATTGTTGAAAACGGTCTCGGAATATATGAAATGCCAGCAGATGAGGTACAAGAAACTCCACAGGAAGAAGTTCAGATACAACCAGACATGGAAGAAATAGTTCAGCAACAACAGCTAGAAGAGCCTGAAGGAAACGAACAAGTCCTTCCTTTGGAAACTAACTTCACAGAACTAGATGAAGATTTGGAACAGCCGAAAAATCTTGACCCTCAACAAGAGTATGCGGAGAATATGGAATATTTCCAAGAGTCTAAAAAAAATTCGGCTGACATAGTAGAAGAATATCGAAAAATGTTTGCCGACATACAAAAGACTCCAACACCAGATGAAAATATCAGCATAGAATGGAAGAACTGAAAAAAAATGTACACAAATACAACAACCCTTTTTACTTACGAGCATTTAACGTTCAATCTTCGGATGAACTCGGTGAAAATAAAAGGTTAAATTTCAAGAAAACATATAGAAATGAAACATTGTTTAAAGTTCATTCAGAACCTAACCAAGATGGAAACAAACCTACTTTTGTTTCTGCAGACGATGGAACTACAATGAGATGGGGTCATAAAGCTAATCCGGATAGGTGGTTCATAAACTTACAACCACAATTCCAAGAAGTTGTAGACGCAATGGAAGTCAATGGTGAACAGATATAGCTGGTATTTTAAGCGCGGCTTTAATGCCATTGAAAGATATGAAACATGCAGATATTTTGGACCAGTATGAAATGAACATGGCTGATGGAAATATAACACCTGACGTTCTAGAACATTTATCTCAAAGAACTACACAGAACCATAGAGATGGTATATTTGGTGAAGAGTTTAGAAAGAAAGTTAGGGAGAGAAGGAAGAGAACCTATTGTACATGACCTTGCAAACGAAAGTTTACAAAATGTCATAAAAACTTACTTTGCAGACAATGAATGAGAAGGGATGAATATTTAAGAAAACTCAAATGGACAGTACCAAATGAAATGTTAGTATTGAAAAACATGTTCCTTGACAAAATAAAACCAACTACAGAAATAAACGACGCAAGACTGAAAGATTGGGTAAAAGCTTTCCCATTCACAAAAGATATAGTTGGTAACATGGAAAGAAAACCAGAATGGCTACAAAAACATATATTTGGAAACGAGCATATTCCATATGGACAGGCACTGTTTGAAGAGCTTGAACCGGAAACTCAGGAAAGAGTCATGCAAACAATACGCGAAGACTCAAATACAGACTATGACAAACTCTTTCTAGGATATAGGTTACCTGAGATGGGCGACCAGAGCCAAAAGGCAAAAAGGACATGGGAAATTTGCAACATACTAGATGAACATAATGCAAAGATGCAACAACTTCAAGCAGAGGGCAATGAAGGAAAAAGAAGAGTTAAAAACTCAGTCAGGAAGAAAGTAAAGCTTGGTCCACGTGGGTTCTATTATGACATATAAATCCAACTATTCTATATTTTTACTCATATGAAATGTACGCCGCTCAGAATATAACGCCAACAGTTTTGGATGCTATGAATGGAAATGTTTCCGAATGGTATAACGAATGCGACAATGCCATTAGAAGGTCAGAAATAGTTCCTGGAACTTACGAATATACAACTGCTGTTTCTTATGGAAACGTAGGTGAGTTTGGAGAAGGTTCTTCAACAACAGTAGATATTGCTTGCGACAGGTTTCATATAATTTCTATTGACAACTCTTTCTTATACGTGGAACAAGACATTGAAATAAAACCTTCTGCCAAGTTGTCTGACAAGAAAGGTTGCAATGGAATTTTCTATGTCGGATACCAATATGCTCCAGAAGTTTTCATGGGATATAAGATATATTCTAACTCTGACTTAGTTCAAACAGTAACATGGGCAAACTATGAATGGTTCGCTTTGAGAAACTCAGTACAACCACAAGCTAGAGAACAAACAGACCAGTATGCACATTGAGAAAATAAGAAGACTTGACCCTAACGTTCCAGGAGTTTATGTTAACCTTTCTGGACAAACTGCAGCAGCAGTAACCAAAGTAAAACTGAAACTTAGAGTTCCTTTGTCATCTTTCCTCATCTTCAGGTTTTTAAGATACTTGCCAAACTGGGCAGGAAAAATTTCTATCGAACTTACTCAAGCAAAAATAACTTAGTCATTGCACCAACGCAAGACCCATTCACTCTTACAGACGTAGTGGGAACAAATAAAACGTCATTCGCCGACTTTTGCAAAAACAAAGTTGACTTAGACTTTGGTTTCTCAAACCTCAACACTGAAGTAAACTATTATTTCAATGCTGCTGGAGATGCTTGGGACCCAGTTAAGTTCACATGCGAAAAAATTTGAATGCAAGAGAATAGAAAGCAGACTTGCAGTCTATATGTTGGACCCAGATATTTCAAATGCTTTAGCTGCCAAATATATTGCAGTTCCACTTATGTTCCCTATACACCAAATATCTGTCAAAGACTTTGCAGGTGAAGTTGGAAACCAAAGTGCTGACCCAGGTGCAAGAACAGATATTGCCTTAACAACTGCAATGAAACATGCAGATACTATGTTTGTACTGTTCAGACGAACTATAAATGACTATTCTTGTTTCTACAACCCGGTATTAAATATCATATAAACATAGATGGCAAATATTATCCAAGAGAAGAATATTCTACAGTTGAGGATATGAGGTCATACAACTTGACATTAGATGCTATGAACTTTAACAACAACTTCACAACAACCATTAACCCTGAAATGCAAAGTTCTATTATGCCATATGTGAAAGTATGGACTCATACAGGAGGTCAAAAAAACTCAATATACAAATGGAGACCGTTCAAACTTTTGGCTTGGCATTCCATTTGCTGACTCAGAAGACTTTATGGGTGGTATTTCAACTGTTTGGTACTGTACAAATACAATATACTGGTGACAGAGACGGTCCAGATGAATTGAAAGCAAAGAAGTTTACAAAACCAATAGCACTTTTCACGGAAGATGCTCTTTTGAAGATTCGTTCGATGAAACTGCTGGGGCTCCTCAGATTGGCATAACGACAGCTTCCATCGAGCAGATTTTGGCAGCAGGTCAGTAAGTTGTTCTTGAACTGACTTCTCTCCGTCAAATATTGACAGTACGCCAGTTTTGACATAATATTGTAAGATAAACTTACCTTTAGAAATATCTGTAAGTTTTGAAGTTATATTTTTGTCTGCTTCAAGAACTTTCACCATCTCGGTTATACCAACTTTCTTTGCTTTATGGAAATATTTAGGTTCAGCAAAGACTGCTATTCTATAACATTTACCATTGTTTGTATAAAGAACTATTCTGTCAATGTATTTGTATTGTTTGTGTGTGTAAACTTTGTTCTGCTTCAATTCGAAGAGATACTCGAATACGTCCATCTTTTTATTCTAAGTAAAATGTCATTTCCGAAAAATAGAAGCGTGAGTGTTTCAAAAGGTTTAATGGCGGTGGCAGATGTGAAGTTAAATTCACCAACTCAAACAAACAGTCAAAGTGTTGTTGTCAATGTCAAAGACAGAGATGTTGAAGTGGGGAAACCATACGAAGACGAAGATGGTATAGCAATTGTTCCTGTAAAAGAACCAACATATCCTGAAGTTAGCAGAGACTTAAGTTCTGTTGCAGATATTCGAAACGACTACCAACAACTTAAAGACAAACTTCAAACTCAGGAGAAGATTTGTCAAGCTTTAAGTATAATGTTAAACTTGGTCGAACACAACCCTGTAAAAGTGAACTCATATGTCATCGCACCTCATGAAGTTTTGAAAGAACTATTGAAACTTTTGACAGAGGCAGACGATATAAACATCAAAGAAATAGAACCCGACATTAGTTGCTGTGGTGTTTCATATAATGTCATTGACAAGATATACGTTATGAAAGGAGGCGAAACGTTGAACTTAAAATATAGTTTCCCAGACGTCATAAAAATATTTGACGACCACAACATTTCATTAAAATTTATTTGCTAAGTAAATGGCAGAAGACATAATGGTTTATACTATTACGACTAAAAACCCTGAGTCATATAATTCTATAACAACAAACTTACAAAGTCCTCAAGGACGATATTGTAAACTAACCTTAAACACAATGACGACTAAAGCCTGTTTTGCTCTTTGACACCAGAAGACTTTATTGTTGTGAATGCGTAAAAAATACTCCTTTGAAGATACTTACTCAGATATACCACCAACAGGTTTTGTTGACTTATTTAATACTTTAAGGACGGATGTAACATGTGCTGCAACTAGAGCAGGTTTCATTATGTTTGGATGTCCGACTGAGTTTACTATAAACGATATGAGCTATAATACAAAACTTATATCTGGTTTTTACTACCAACAGTTTCCTATAACAGGAAAAGGTGTCATACAAGGAATGTCTGTTCCATTGACTTTAAGTACACCTATTTTATATATTGTTTCAAACTTAGGTTCAAAGTGTTATTCGAATGTTGACAGAAACTACTATGACCAAAAGATACTCATGCGTATAAACAACACTTTCTCTGCTGGTTTGCCTATTGTTCATTCGAATGCAGAGTTTTCAGCTTTAGTAACTCAAACACTTTAGCAAACATAAACTTAACCTTAGTTGACGCAAACTTTGTTCCTGTAAAACTTTTATGTCCTATGTATTTGTCAATGACGGCAGAAAGTTTCGAATTGGAAGATGCAACTGGTGAAAGTATTGTATTACAAGAACAACTTCAACAACAAATAGCTCAAGAACAACAAATAGCTCAAGAATAAAAAAAATATTTTTTTTATTCTTATAAAAATGTACAGAATAGATGTTTCAGATTTTTATGACTTCCAAGCATTCAGAAATATGTGTCCATTTCGAGACTATAACAAAGCAGTCGAAAATTTGAAACGTTTAGTCATTTATGTCGACTCTGCCCCAGAATGTTATGTCATGAAAGAATGGGATGTTGTCTTTAACAAACCAAGAGCAACAATAGTTTCAGAACAAGAATGTAGACAGAAACTTAAGAAAATAAAAGTCGTACAAGTTGGCATGAAGATGTTAGATGCTTGGGATATCTTATTGTCAAAACTTGAAGATTTTTCAGTTCGAGGTATAAAGTTTTATACACCTTCTCCAAACTTCTATTCTATCTTCACTGGATATAAATACGAACAAGTAGAATGGAAACACAGTATTATAGAAGCTTGGTTAGACCATGTCAAAGAAATTATATGCAATGGAAACGAAAGAGTCTATGAGTATATCTTATGTTGGTTTGCAAACATCTTACAACATCCAAGTGCTAAAAATGAAACTGCTCTCATTATAATTGGAAAACAAGGAACAGGTAAGAACACATTCTTTACAGATATCTTGTGCAAACTGTTAGAAGGTTATTCGAACCCTAATATGACAAACTTAGAAAACATCTGCGGTAAATTTAACTCCTCAATAGAGAATATGAAACTTATAGTTTGCAATGAACTTCAAAGTATAGATACAACAAAAGTTTTAAACTCAGATGCTTTGAAGAGTCTTATAACAGACAAAGTTGGAGTTGTTGAAAGAAAGTATAAAGACTCAAGAGTTTGTGAAAATGTTGCAAACTTCATTATGGTTTCAAACAATGTTGTTCCGATGAAGTTAGAAAGTTCTGACAGAAGATATGTAGTTGTCAGAACGTCAGATTCTCATATGCAAGATACAGAATATTTTGACGACTTAGCAGAAACTTTGACATCTGACTTTTACAACCACTTGTTCTCATATTTCATGACATTAGATATTTCTAAGTTCAATCCAAGACAAATTCCACATACCGAAGAGAGACAAACATTGTTAGAAGCAAACAAGAGTGTATATGAACTGTTCATAGATGAAACTGACTTTGAGTGTTTAGATGAAAGGTCATTGTACGATTCGTATAAACAATATTGTCAAGAATATGGTTATATGGCAGCGTCTAAACGTACATTCTTGGCAAATGTCAAAAGTCTTTTAGATGTTCAGAATGGTGTATATACAAAGAAAAATTTTTCTGAGTAAATTTTAAAAAAAATATTTTTTATCCGATAGAAAAGATGACGAAATTCATCTCAGTAAACAAGTACATGACAGAAGTCAAAGAAGAACTAGACCCATTCGCTTATTTGAATGTTTACTTCTACCATTTTGAAAAGTCTTACATTCAGCAAAGTTTGGAACATCGAACCAGTTAAGTTTGCTATTGTGACTAAAAATGGTGCGAAATTTGAAGACTTAGACATAGAAGGTTTGTTAGCAGTCAAAGAAAATTTTGACAGAAGGTTCTCAAACCTTAAAGAAGGCAAAGCATACAAACTTGTTATACCTTATGAACCAAAGAAAGCAGACGACTATGAATATTATGAGTCTAAGATAGTTGAAGTTCAAGGTAAATTGGGTAAAAAGATTTTAGAGTCTAAGCCAGTGTTTGCCCCTAAAGAGGAAGAGAACATTGACATTGACCCAGAAATGTTCTAAAAATAAAATTTTATTTTTACATGTCAAATTTCTTTTTCTCTGGCTGGTTGGCTCTTTCTTCTCTTCTTCTACTTTCTTTTCTTTCTTCTCTCTCTTCTTCTTCTTCTCTGGTGGAGTTATGTCAAATTTCTCAGAACCATATTTATGTAAAAGTTCTTTGTCCTTTAATAGCTCTTCTATTCTGTTTTCTATTTCATCTTCAAGAACAGCGCATGTGTCTTCTTTGCATTCTAAGAACTTTTGTTGGACTTCATCTTTCCAATCGGCGTCATCTCTGTCAACAAGTCTGTCATTGACAAACTTAAGACTTCTCTGCTTAATGTTTTATGGTTCTTGTCATATTCCCAGAAACAGAACTTTAGAACAAATTCACCTTTCTTGTTTACACTATGTAAGATTTTATGGTCGACAGATGTTTTGCTGTCAAAAAGTTTGTCTCGAATATAGATAGCGAAATCGCTAGACATTTTCAAAAAGATAAAAATTTTAATTTTTCTAAAAATATGTTAGAAAAAAAGTTTGCTGACATTGACAAGAAATTTGAGAATGTTTTAAATAAGAACAAGAGGAAGTTGGAAAATGCTCAGATAAAACCATACATGACAAGTTCTTATTTGCTCAGAATGGTATAACAGGTCTAATCGCACCACCTGGGTCGGGTAAGACTTTCACTTATCTTAAAATGGCTGCACAACAACAAGAACTAGATGAGAAGAACCCATTCTATGAGTTAGTTGTCATTTGTAGTACTTCTGGTCAATTTGACCAAACCGTCAATTCGTTCAAAGATATTATAAAGAAGTCTAAGTTAGTATGTATAAAGATACTGAGTTGTTAGATTGGATAAAGAAGTACCAAAGAAGAGTTTTGAAGTACAATGCTATAAATGAGTATATAAATTCGAAGTTTAAAGACCCAAATGAGGAAATGCAGAGAATATTAGAGAAGAAACACTTCAGAAACAAACAGAAAGAGATAGAATACATTTCGAAGAAATTGCAATCTTACGATTGGAAGACTTACCCTCATAGATGTCTTCTTATCTTAGATGACTTTGCTTCTCATCCTTTGTTAAAGAACAGAGAACAAGATATGTGTCGAATTCTTAAGAAGCTCAGACACTTTAACATCTCAGTTGTCATTTGTGTACAGACAGCAAAGAGTTTAAGTAAGGATGTTAAAAGAATACTTACTGACATTATACTTTTCCCTGGATTGTCCGAAGACGATTTCATGGAACTTATGAAAGAGTCCATGGCAGGTAAGTTTGACAGACATGAACTATGGGAGAAGTACAAAGTCATACAAGACCCTCATACTTCTTTCAGAATTCATATCTACGCAAACAAAGTTCAAATTGTAAAAAGTCAGCAAAAATAAAGAGTTTTGGCGACCAGGGTTTTTTCACTACTCGCTGTTCTTCACTGTTTTCATGAGTTTTAGGCTAGACCGGTAAAAGTCGGTCTAGAGAAATTTCATGAAATTTCATACGGAATTCAATAAAAATAATGTTTATGTTAGAATGTTAGAAAACATGTTTTCTAACATGTTTTCTAACATGGTCTAAAACATACAAAATTCATGAAATTTCATACGGAATTCAATAAAAATAATGTTTATGTTAGAATGTTAGATCTAACATGTTTTCTAACATGTTTTCTAACATAACTATTTACAAGCGTTTTACATGGTATATGTTGCGATGGTTCATGACTCTAAACAATTTCGTAGCTTCTATTTCTTCTGTCAGTATGTCAAAAGTTTTAACGATACCGAAAGTTTCTTTATACTTCTTCTTGACATCTGAAAGAAGGAAATCGTTAGCGGTTGGATAGTTTTTGTTCAGAAATTCTAACATGTTCATTTTATCTTCTGCTGGTTTTTCTGCTTCTTTCTTTAAATCTGCATAGTCGTTTCGCATACGTTCTATCTCTTTGACGGAGTAGTTATATTTCCTCATTGCTGCTTTACATTTTGAACATTGCGGGTTCATTTTTGCGTTATATTCTGAAACCTTACCTGCAAGTATGACCAAGGCGTCAATGGTTTTCTTCATCTCGAACATAGCGGGTTTTATTTGTTCGTTCCATACCTTACCCCTACTATCTTTATCTCTTATTTCCCAAACACATTTTGCAACTAATGAAACAAAGTTGTCGTAGGTCTTAAATTCTTCGGATTTGTAAAGGTCAGAGATGTTCTTATATACCATGTCGCAATCTTTGTCCATAACCTTATGGTTGCAATGAAAACCAAGGAATTCATAATTTACCTTTCGTATGAACTTCTTTATTTCTACTGAGTCAGTTGCTTTGACTTCTATTTCGTCAAATTCGGGAATGGTTAGTTTTTGTTGTTGGATTTCAGGCAATTTGGGTAAATGGTCGATGAGGTCCTGCATTTCATAAAGATACTGTTCATTTGTTTCATCTTTCGCACTACAGTTTAAATTAGATGTTAAAAGTTCTTGCTTTATCTTCTGGATTTTTGTTTCAAAAGTATATGAAGAAGGAATGAAGCTTTTCATCTCTACTAACATAGATGTTGGATTCATAACTAGCGAGTTTGGTGCTGTAGTTGTTTGAATTGTTGTTGTGCCGATTGTTGAAATCATGTCTTTTATACAAAATAAAAAAAATAAATAAAATAAAAAATAAAACTAATTTTATTTTTTATTTCGGGAAAATTCATGAAAATTCAAGAGTTTTAGACCATGTTAGAAAACGTGTTAGAAAACATGTTAGATCTAACATTCTAACATAAATTATATTTTTGCTGAATTCAGCAACAAAATTCAAATTGTAAAAAGTCAACCTTGAAAAATGTAAGTTTTTAGTCTTAGTAAGATGGTAGCTTCTTAAAGCAAATACCATTGCTGAGTTTTATGTACGTGAAGAGAAGTACAATGAATTCAATTACGAGTACAATTGCAATGACAACTAAGGCAACTATTTTTGTCTTTTGCCAGCAAGGGTACTTCTTCTCTTCCAATGGTTCGGCAGAACTATACTCACTCATGAGAAATGCCAAAACGGTTTAATAGAAAAAGTGTCATTTTTTCATGTCCGAAGACTCGAAGGTGCAACACTTCCAAAATACCGACGAACTCAGAAGAGCAGCATGGCAGTATGTTCTTGACAACTTCTTTGAGTTCTCCAGGTACACCTTGGAAAATGCTGAAGAACTCCGACACAGAGAATTTGGAGAAATTGCACTCCAATACTACATTGACAAACAAAGGGTAAACAAAGGGTAAACAAAGGGTAAAATAAGACTAAAAACTTAAGGTTTAAAAAAGTGACATTTTTATGAGCTCCGAGTCACCGAGAAAACTTGGTCAGATGTTAGCAGCTTACTTCCCTGAGGAGGATGGAAGCGTTACATACGTAAGGTTCAAAAACAACGAACCTGGAATTGCGTACCAAATTCGCAATTACATGACCATGGAAGAGTACGAAAGGTTCCTACAAGAGAAACCAGCTCTAAACAACTCAGAAAAGAAAGAATAAAAAGTTTAACTCGTAATTGTTTATTTTTTTACTTGTATGGGCAAGCTGCAAGAATGAAGTCGACTATCTCGGTCTTTGTCTTGACCAGTTGGACTGCTCTTGCGAGTACGTCTGTTTTGCGGTCTCCAGCTGGTGTCTGACCTTCGTAATTGCGCATGTTCTTGAGAGCTCCACTGTAAATGATTGTAGGATGAAGAGTCTCTCAGACTGCTTGAGGTAGTCTTCACGGTCACGAACCGAATCTGTGGTACGAGTCGAATCGGTCGATTTGAGGGAAGAGACTGAAAGCCTGTCGTCTTCCATTGGAGCTGTAGCATACTCTTTGCGTAAGCGGTTCAGACCTTCTTCGAACTCTTGGTCTCTCTTGGATTGAGATTGGAATTGGAATTGGGGTGGAGGGTTTGACATGAACATCCAAGGGTTAGGGCAGTAAGGCATAGGTTGAGGAGGGTAGTTCGGGAAGCCTTGTGGTGGGTAGTAACCTTGAGGTGGAAATTGGTAGTAATACGGAGGTACTTGCTGGAACTGAGGTTGCTGAGGTGCAGGGGCTGGTGCTTTAGGTTCCTCTGGCTTGGGAATGGACTCGGTTGGTGGTACGTCGGACATTGTCTTGAAACAATAAAAGATTTGTCTTGAAACAATAAAAGACTTGTCTTGAAACAATAAAAGACTTGTCTTGAAACAATAAAAGACTTGTCTTGAAAAAGTAAAAGACTTGTCTTGAAAAAGTAAAAGACTTGTCTTGAAAAAGTAAAAGACTTGTCTTGAAAAAGTAAAAGACTTGTCTTGAAAAAGTACGGGTATCGTCTGAAATCAAGACCACTGTTCTCAAATTTGAGAACTTTACACCAAAAAATTTCTTGAAAAATAACGGGTCTTGTCTTGAAAAAGTAAAAGACTTGTCTTGAAAAAGTAAAAGACTTGTCTTGAAAAAGTAAAAGACTCGTCTTGAAAAAGTAAAAGACTCGTCTTGAAAAAGTAAAAGACTCGTCTTGAAAAAGTAAAAGACTCGTCTTGAAACAATGACCGACATAGACCCAGCAGATGAGGCAATCTACCTTATAGAGATAAATGAGCTAGTTAGGAACTACCTGAGCCATCTGAAGTCAAACAAGACCATTGCAGGCTGGGTGTCTGGAAGAAGTGCGCTTAAAATTGAAATTGACACTGGAATTGTCCTGCAAATACCAGAAAACACTCCTTTCGACGACATAAAAGAGATGAAGAAAGAAGTCCTCTTGAAGTTCTTTGCCAAGCGTCCTTGGATACTACTTCCAAACAGAGAGAACCCAACTGTACGAATTGCCCAAATTCTCAGAGGACTCTTACACTTCTCGGGTCGGGCGTTCTTCATAAACACAGAGGGCGACATCGTACCTTTACAGTAAACATCTCATTTTAACTTCACTTTTTTATGTTTTTACTCACACTCGTACTCAACAGGTATGTGTACACATATGTCAACTGTGAACCTTGTATTGACCGGTCTTCCTGCAAATGCAAGTTCGGTCAATACACAATTTATGGTGGCAAGAAAGACAGTGGGGAATGTTATTCTGACATCTGTTGTTGCGCTCGAGAGAGAATTGAAATTCCAGACCCAACTCCAACACCAACACTCAAGTTGCCAAAGACTCATGTGAAGAAGAAGCCTTCTGGTAAGTTTCTTATAGCCATATACATGGCACGCTTTGAGTAAAAACATTTTTTTCATTTTTTGAATGAAGCAAGTTAAATTCGTCCCACACCAATCTCAATGGACCGATGAAGAGTTTCAAGCTATGGTTGAAGACGTTGAGAACGACATAGACGGCGAACTTGAAGGAGCTCAAACCACAATTGCAACCAAAATTGCACAAGTCAAAGAAGAGATAGCTCCACTTAAAGCTACCAAAGCTACTCTTGACCTCATGGATAGTTACCGTTTAGATGTCAAGAGTGGAATAAGACAATTAAAATTAAAACTTCTAAACTACGAAGCTATACTCCAAAAGTTAGCAGAAATGAGAAGACTTTACCAGAGCTACTTACATGTAAGGGACTTACCTTCAAGCAGTCCGACCAAAGATGAATTTTCTGACATTGTCCCAATTTTGTCCGAAAGTCAGCTCAGATGTTTTGAACTGCTCCCAACATATCCAGAATATGAACGTTTGCCTGAACTCTTCCGCAATCTCAAAAAACGTTTTTTGGTTCTCATGTTCGAAACTTTTATCGGAAGAGACAACAAACGTTCAGAAGAAGAACAAGATATTATTTTAAACTTGTTGTATGACTTAACGTCATAACAAGCTTTTTGAAGTAAAACCGTCATTCTCAAACCACTTCATTTTTTCGATGTCCGAACAAGCACCGAAGCCGAACACAATGGCAGATGTCCTTTCAATGTTGCCAGACAAGCGCCCAGTTCAAATTCAAATTTTGAATTTGAAAGCTCATCTGACAAACACCGTTAAGACTCTCCAAAGTAGTCTTATGGAAGAGATGACCAAGCTTCAAAGCCGATGTCCTCATGAACCAAGCTTCCAATGAGAAATGCCTGAATGATTTGACGGAAACCTTGCGCATTTACGCGAGAGAGAACCGAGACCTTGCCAGACTCATCTACCGTTTCTTCGAAGAGATAGACGCCATCTGGAAGGTACTCGGAAAGGACAGAACTCCAACACCGTAATTCGTGAGTACAAATTGAAGAAGGAATTGTCGAGAAGAAGAGGAAGAGAAACACGAAGAAGAAGAGGAAGAAGAAGAAGAGAAACACGAAGAAGAGGAAGTTTGGGCAACCCTTGTTGCCGATGACGCTTACGAAATTTCCCAACCCTACCCATACAAATCCGCAACAAGGAGACAGGCAAGGTTCTTACCCCAGTCCTCAACAACTTGGGACACTTGAACCTTAACCTTCGGAATCGCGGTTCAATCTCCATGGGCAAGCTTGTCGCAATTCAATGGGTTCCAAATCCAGACAAGAAGACGGGTCAGACACATTGACGGTGACAAGCTCAACAACCGTAAGGAGAACCTCGAGTGGTTCTAAGAGTAAAAAAATTTTATTTTAGGGGGAAACCCGAGTAAATTTAGGTGTTTATTTAGTTAAGCGGCTTAAATTAATGAGAATTTGGACAAGTAGTTCCTGACCCTGAATTGGACTCTTTCGTCATCCCAGTTGCGTAGGAGGTCGTCCCAGAGGAGTTGGTAGAATTGCCAATCCAAGGACGATTTGTCCTCCCAGGCATTGAGGATGTACTGCTCGTAGAGTCTCATGACCTCTGCCTTGCACCAGACACCCTCTCCCTTGGAACGTAAGGCTTCTTCGAAGTGCTCGAATGCGATTGGCTGCTGACCATCTGAAATGACACTTTTTGTCCGTTTGGTCAATGTTTGTGTCTCGTGCCATAGTCGACGAAAATACAGACAAACAGGTTATATATGAGTTTGAGACCAAGAATTCCCCACATTTAAATTCAAATTCGAATAAAAATTTTTTACTTCATGCAATGTTTTATTTCTGTGCCGTCTTCAAGTATACCCCAGTACTTACGCTTGGAGAGGACAT